CTCAAACCTGTGAAAAACCTTTGTCTTATAGTCACTAAATCAGGGGTGGGATTCAGCCGGTTCAGACCGGTTCAGGCGAATCGGTAGTTCCGATGATCAGATGGCCCCGCCCACCCTCCCCACCATTTCCTGTCCTTTATTTCCTTGTTTCTAGCTTATCTGAATTGTGTGTTACAGCTGATTTCTACGCCTCAGCTGTTCTACTTACCGGGGCTGACTTAGAAGGTAAGCAGCTGAGCTTTTAAAACCTCCAATTTTAGCGCTGCATGAAAGAGCCTTAGGCGCGTGCACAAAGTGCACGTGCACGCACGCAGCGTGCGCTCACCGAACCGATTGTTAAACCAGTTGCAGCCCACCCCTGCACTAAATAAGGAACAGCCATTTGGGGAATTCATTATCTAGAGACCTTCCAAAGAACCAATCTACTCACTGCTTCCTTTGTCTTTGCTGTGATCATCTTTAGTTCGCTAAATCTCCCCCAGAAGTCATGACTTCCCATTGTCTTGATATCATACTTCTGTTGATAGAGCCCAGAATGGCATTGGCTGTTTTGGCAGCTGTCACACATTGCTGGTTTATATTAATCTGTGATCTATCAAGACCCCCATAAGTACTGCTGCTAAGTCAGGTACCGTCTATCTTGTATTTGTACATCTGTTTTTATTTTGCCTAAATGCTCTTCTCCCCACTGAACAACATTGTGTTAGATAGGGCCCATGTTCTGCCCCAGCTATGGACCCCAAAGAACGCAGCACACACAAAGTCTGTACAAACCTTAGTTTACTAAATTAAATCAGTCTTTTTCAAACAAAGGCTGTTAATTAACTTTCTTAACAGCCTACAAGAATTCAAAGAATAAATCATCGTAATCTTACTATGGTTGGCAGAAAGCCCAGAAGCAATTTGCAGAGAACTAAGATCAAGACGTGAAGGAGAGTGAACGAAGTTGTTCCCTGCAAATTGCCTCAGTTGTCGTCCTTCCTTAAATAGGTTAAGGGATTGGCCAAATAGCCCCAAGCCTTACTCTCGAGGAGACCTCCTCCTGAGGAGCCACTTCTGCCTTTTGGCAGCTCTGCGCGTCCGTGCATCGAGAAGAGGCTCCTCCTCTTCTTCCTCTTCACTTATGGGAGCTTCTGGAGGTTCTGAAGGCCCTGGCTGAATCCCTACCTCTGGCACTACATCTTCTCCAGCCTCCTCATTGTCTGACTTGAGTGCCAGCTGCACAGGCTGCTGGCGCAGCACCACACCAGCTTCCTCGCTGTCGGAATCAGCTACTAGCTGCACAGGCCGCTGACGGGCCATAACACAGTCCCAGCTTTGTGGCATCTGCAAATTTTATGAACATCCCTTCTATTCTCCCATGTAAGTCGTTTTTGAGGATATTGAACAGTACCAAACCCTGAGGTACATCACTACATACTATATCCATTGAACATAGATCCCATCCATTGGCTTTAGATATGTTCTCATCTATTGATAAGCTGCATTTCCACAACAGACAAAAAGGGAATTAAGTTATTGAAAGAGAAGAAAGTTTTGCAGCGGGACACATGGACTTGGCTTCCTGGCAGCTTCGTGGCTAAATGGCAGCTATTCACATCTTTTTCATCACTCCCCGCAGGCTGCTTCCCTTTTATCCCACTTTAAAGTTGTTATATAAATATATCAATTCATTTCTCACTTTCAGAAACTCTTTAAAAAGAACTGCACCCAGTGTACTCTGCCTAGAAGTGTACAAAACCACTTTTACCCAGGCAAAATATGGTAGCTGTAACAATGCACGTAAGGCTTATGTGCAAAACAAATAAAAAGGGATATAGCTTTAAATGTTTGGATAGGGACTCCATTTTGACATTTTTGCTGTCCCTCTGACTGAATTCCCCCTATCCAGAGTCTGGTCCTAGTAGAGTTCACTTGGATTCATCCAAATGACAGGGCTTCAAAATCAACCCGATACTATAAGAATGCTATTTCCATCGTGCTATCAGGACTTGGTCTGAATCAAAAGTACTGAAGGAATCAGCAAATTATTCTCCAGATGCTGCTGAACTCCAATTCACAACAGGCCCAGATCAGGAGTGAAATCCAGCAGGTTCTGACAGGTTCTGGAGAACCAGTAGCAGAAATTCTGAGTAGTTCAGAGAGCCAGTAGCGGAAATTTTGAGTAGTTCAGAGAACCAGCAAATACCACCTCTAGCTTGCCCCAGAGTGGGATGGGAATGGAGATTTTGCAGTATCCTTCCCCCAGGAGTGGTGAGGGAATGGGGATTTTGCAGTATCCTTCCCCTGCAGTGGGGTGGGAATGGAGATTTTGCAGTATCCTTCCCCTGAAGTGGGGTGTGAATGGAGATGGCATCCTTCCCCTGCCACACCCACCAAGCCACACCATGCCCACCAAGCCACGCCCAGAGAACCAGTAGTAAAAAAAAATAAATTTCACCACTGGCCTAGATACTATGGCCAATAAAGTTAGGTTAAGATCTGGTTAGGATTACCAGATATCTGAAGAGACAAAGGAAGACAGACAATTGGAAAGGAGGATAAATGGGGAGAAAGGAGGATATGCTACTTGTTTAACTTTCTTGGCATCCATGAAAAGTGGATTTAAAATGAAAAGTGGCAAAAACTGTATTTAGGCCCTTTTCCCCCCTGGCATCCAAAGGACCGTTTTATTCAACTGCAATATTTTCTCAACACAACTCTTTGCTATCAAGAAGTTGTGATGATGATGATGATGATGATGATGATATGGAATCAATGACACATTTGTTTCAAATTTCAGACTGCAGCAAACATAGACTTGAAGACGATGGATTGAAACTGATGACTGGAATGAGGAAACAAATTAAATTTCCTTTTGTTTGGGCTGTTGACAAGGAAAAGAAAGAAACAGACAATATACAAGGCCACAATACATGAATATTTGACTACTATTGTGAAAGCAGTCAATTTTTTAAAAAAACAAGAGACTTAAAAAATTGGACAATATCTGATTTTAAGACTATGTCTGCTGGACAGAGGATATAAGGACAAAAAAAGAGTATCTGTCCTTTTGTTGCACATCTGATAACTATCCCGCAGACGTTTCTGAACTAAAACTCCCAGATTCCCAATAGAATAGAATAGAATAGAATAGAATAGAATAGAATAGAATAGAATAGAATAGAATAGAATAGAATAGAATAGAATAGAATAGAATAGAATTCTTTATTGGCCAAGTGTGATTGGACACACAAGGAATTTGTCTTTGCTGTATATGCTCAGGCTACATAAGGAGAATAAAATACATTCTTCAAGTATAAAAAGACACAGCACTTAGTGATAGTCAAGGTTACTAATAAGCTATCCAATCCTACTAGGAAACAACTAAAAACAATATAAATTGAAAGAAACAAGCAACATGGTTATAGTAATAAGTGGGAAGAGATAGATACTAGTAAGGAAGAGCAGAATAATAGTAATACAGTCTTAGTAAATTATTTGACAGTGTTGTGGGAATTATTAGTTGTTAAGCAGAGTGATGACATTTGGGGAAAAACTCTTCTTGTGTCTAGTTGTTTTGATGTGCAGTGCTCTATAGCGTCATTTGGAGGGTAGAAGTTGAAACAATTTATGTCCAGGATGTGAGGGGTCTGTAGATATTTTCACAGCATCATCATCATCATCATCATCATCATCATCATCATTATTATTATTATTATTATTATTATTATTATTATTATTATTTATTGGTTAATCTTTAGTGAGATTCACAGCCTTTGAGGCTGGTTAATAGCTCAGCAGCTCGAGTCCTAACCAAGGACCTAGGAACTGTTAAGGTATTGCCGGAGGATGTAAGCTGTTCCGAGTAAGGTGGTTTTTTGTAGAGTCAAAATGTTCAAGTCCGGCAAATTTAGGATTTCTAAATAGCGGGGTAGCCCTTTGGGTATTGCTCCGAGGGCTCCAATTACAATCGGGACAACACACGATTTCTTTTTCCATAGTCGCTCAACTTCAATTTGTAAGTCCCGGTACTTTGTGATTTTTTCTTGCTGCTTATCTTCAATTCGTGCATCACCAGGTATTGCAATGTCAATGAACCATACTTTTTTCTTTTCAACTATTGTTATGTCAGGTGTATTGTGGACCAAGTGCCTGTCAGTCTGAATCCTAAAGTCCCACAAGATCTTGAGTTTCTCATTCTCTAAAACTTTCTCAACCTGATGTTCCCAGTGGTTTTTGCTGTACTCAAATCCAAACTTCTGGCACAATTTCCAGTGAATGATTTTAGCAACACGGTCATGGCGTTGTAGGTAGTCAGTTTGTGAAATTTTGCTGCACCCACTGATCAGGTGGTCGACTGTCTCATCTTTCTCATTGCAGAGGCGGCATTTGCTGTTGGTGGTAACATGTTGAATTTTTGTCTTCATACAGTTTGTGGCTAGGGCTTGTTCTTGAGCTGCCAAAATAAAGCTTTCAGTTTCTTTTTTCAGTACTCCTGATCTTAACCAGTTCCAAGTTAGTTTCTGGTCAGCTTTGCCTTCAATACTTTTCAAGTATTGGCCATGCAGAGCTTTGTGTTTCCAATTTTCAGCTCGCTGCTCAATTACTTCTTTCTTATATTCTGCTTTTGTTTTAGTTGTCTTTAAAAGGCCTCCTTTATTTACTTCCTTAATCATTGGTTCTTCACTTTTCTGGATATTTATTATTATTATTATTATTATTATTATTATTATTATTATTATTCACAGCAGTTGGGGCTGTTGTGAATTGATACCGTGTTTCCCCCAAAATAAGACCCTGTCTTATATTTTTTTGAACCCTGAAATAAGCGCTTGGCCTTATTGCCATGTACTCAAAAGCCGATTGGGCTTATTATCAGGGGATGTCTTATTTTGAGGGAAACAGGGTACTAACATCTGGAAGATCATAAGCTTATATAGAGCTTATTTAGAGCACTTATTGAAATATTACATACTACTGTATAGACACCACTGAACCACTGAACACTGACAATCTTCCAATTTGTCATAGATTAATAGCTTTGAAAATTATCACTGCTGTACTTTTATTAAGATGTATGAATATTATCCATGATTTTACCTTGGTATGAAAGGTACAATTTCCATCTGTTTACTACCTTCACTGATTCATACTGTTCATTTTTTTTTCTCCCTTTTTGATTTCCTATTAGATATTCATCTTGCTCCAAAGCCTTCCGATATTTGTTTTATTTCTTTCCTGAAAGAATGGTGAAAATAAATTGTCTTTCAAAACACATTGTGTGCACCAACAAAATTAATAAAACATGTAGAGGTTGCTTGTTTATTTTAAAAATAAGTATTATCTCTTTGCTTCTGTCAGGAAATTCTGAATGATTGACAGCACAATTCATTGCAATAAAACTTCTTCATCCTTTCTCTTTATGAACCAAAGGCGGGCATTTGTTTGCAAACAGAGCAGGAAAAATCTCTGCTAAAAAAGATTGTGGGAAGGAACTACATACCATGGGAGTTTGGTGCAGAAATCCTTTTTCGCTGAAGTCTTAATTTTCTGCCACTCACATTTCAGATTTCCATAGCTGCCTTTTCTTTCCACCCAGTTTTCCATTTTCTCAAGGGAAAGAAGAATTCGTAAAAGTATAAGTTTCTCTTTTTTGTATGCTTTAAGTATCCCTTGAAATTCTTCTATACCAGTGTTGGGAGAATTTTGCCTGCATTTTTATAAAATGTCCTAGTAAAATATGCATACCTCTTTTAAAAAAAAAAGATATTAAAAGGAAAACCATTTGGCTCTTTATTCCCTTCAAGAAAAAAAAAACCCCTCTCATTTTTTTTTAACACAAATTCAATATGAGGCAGCAATGTAATGCAACTGCAAAAAAGGTGAATACAATCTAGAAGTACATTAACAGGAACAGAGTCCAGATTGCAAGAAATAATTATTCTTTTCTATCCTGCCCTGGTGAGAACCCATCTTCAATATTGAAATCCAGTTCTGGACTGAATCCAAACTGAATCCAGCTCTGGATACCACAGTACAAAAATACTGCTGACAAATTGGAATGGGTTCAAAGGAAGGTAAGCAAGATAGGGAGGAGCCTAGGAGCCAAGGTATACAAAGATCAATTATTAAGCATTTGGGCATACAAAAAAGACAACTAAGAGGTGATAGAATAGTATTCTTCTATTGACTCATCCTGTATTGTCCACGGAGTTCAGGACCTGAGTTACAGGAAGAACTCAAGGAAGAAGGCCTGAAATCAGGATAAACTTCCAGAGTGCACATGGAATAGGCTGCCACATTATTTGGTAAAGTCTTTTACCATGGAAGTCTTCTAACAGAGGGTGGATGATCATCTATCAAACAAGATCCACTGCACTCAACAGGGATTTTGAACAAATAATCTTTTTTTTTCTTTTTTTTAGTAAATGATTCTGCCTTCAAATGACTCTGGGTGGTTTATCCTTTAAAAAAGTGATCTCTAAGGTTCTTTCCAATTGTATGATTCTTTTCTTTGTCAAAACACTTATTTCTTCTAAATCCAAAAATTTTATCTGTCTGTCTGTCTGTCTGTCTGTCTGTCCGTCCGTCCATCCATCCATCCATCCATCCCTCCCTCAGATTTAGGTACCACCCATCTCACTCTCAGAGTATCTAAACTAATTATAATTGTCTAATGTTTAGCATGTCTAAACTAAACTAAACTAACTAAATTAATATCTTCCTTACATTTATATTGTGGAACTCCTTTCTTTGCAAGTTTTATTTCTAAAAGACAATGGAAAATTAAGCATTTCCTTTCTTAATTTGAAACAATATGATAAAACAAAGGAGGTGTCAGTAGACCTATTATATTTGTATACCAATTAATCACAGTCGATACAAGACCCCATTATGTATGCTTACAACTCAAAGTGAAACATAGATGCACACATATAGACACACACATAGACACTCTGGAAACAACCTTCAGTACAAGCACACCCATGACATCTGTGTCAACTACTTGTAAAACAAAATATGATTAGTAGTTATTATTAACTGCCTCAAGAATGTGCTTTTGTCAGAGTGATACATCATGAAGATTATCTGAGCCAATCTGGAAAAGAAGAAGGGGGGAAAATGTCCTTGGCATCATGAAAACCTGGAAATGTTTAATTTATTTGCTGACCTGTCTTAGATCTTTTGTTAACCCTCATCCCAAAAATTGTAGGACATCTTCATACACCTCAGCAACACAATTTTAGGCATATGTATGCAATCTGTCTGAATTTAATAAAACTTTTCAGTTGGTCATACACAATCTAACAGCTTAAGGGTTATATGTGAATGCATCTAGTTTAGAAGAATCATGCAGGATACATCCTTTAATCAGAAGCTGAGAAGTAGCTGCAGCTCAGTGGTGGGTTACTACTGGTTCTCCCCAGATCGGGTGAACCGGTAGCGGTGGAGGAGGGAGGCTCCTCCCACCCACCTGGACGTCTGTGCGCATGTGCAGAAGCATTGCGCGAATGAGCGCACCCGCACAGGTGAACGAACTGGTAGCGGCCAAAATTGAAACCCACTACTGCTACAGCTTCTAATGAAGTAAACATAATGTTGCAGAATTTATTATAGTGCAATGCAATGTGCAGAATGGAAACAATGACCATTTGAAAGCAAATTACCAATTGCTTAGATCAGGCTTTATGTGTGTTGGACAGATTTTGATGCACATTGGAAATAAATCTCGAGTGCCGGTCTAATAAGAGAAGTTAAAGAAGTCATCCAGATGGCCTGGTAATTTTCATAAAACAAGCCATATAAACTTTTGCACATGTCTTTGTAAAACACATGATATGGCTAGTTCATTCATCTGTACCCAAGAATACATCTCTATTTTTATATGAAACCTTATTAAAGATCAGCAAGGTAGGTGGCAATGCATGAAACTGGGTTCAAAAAAATGTTCTGCATTATTTGAATGTCACATAATTATCCAGTTCCATGTTAAGACCCGAGTCCAATATTTAAGTTCATTAGAAGCTGTCATATACTGTATATCATTGTCTCCATATCCAGAAGTCATTGGTTTAGAATCATAGTTGCTTACTTAGATTGCATTGAACAATTGCAGATAGAATGTGTTGTGGTCCTCCCGCAGCCTGCGAAGCTGGCAGTGGAGTCGGACAGCGATGAGGCTGAGGAAGAACATGGCCAGTCCTGGAGGCTGGGGAAGGCCTGGATGAGGGCTCTGCGTCGGAGGCAGAGATGGGGTCAGGGCCATCGGGGAGTGATGTGCGGACTTCGAAGCCTCCAAAGGCTGACAGTAGAGAGGCAGAGGAACAGGAGGAGCCTGTTCCTAGTGCACGTATGAGAAGAACTGCCAGAAGGCAGGAGCAGATAAAGCAGAGAGGACGGCTTGGGAGTAAGGCCAAGAGATGATTGGCCCCTCCCATAAGGCTTAAAAGACCAGCAACGGCTCTTGGGCTCTTTGCTGAAAAACAACATTGAGAGAATTGCTTCTTGTTTCACTGTATTCATTTCTTGTCGGGGTCTTCTGCTTCTGAACTTTTGCCAAGAAAATACTTTGGCAGTTTGCCTAATTATCCCAAGGTCAGTGGTAAACTGAGGAATGGTGTTTTGAAGAATTTGCTTTAATTTAGTTTGGACTATGCTGGGAATGAGTTAATTCTCAGATGTTCTAATAGTCTGTTTGTTTTCAGACTGTTTGTATTTAATGCTAACTACTTGAGCCTGGGTGACAACAGAATGACTTGTGGAGAAACACCATATGTCACCAAATATTTCAGCTTTTCAGACAGATACTGCTCAAGAATTAAGTGTTCCAATAGCAATAGCAATAGCAATTAGACTTATATACTGCTCCATAGTGCTTTAGAGCACTCTCTGAGTAATTTGCAAATGTTAGCATATTGCCTCCAACAATACAGATCCTCATTATATTGGCCTCAAAAAGATAGAAGGCTGAGTCAACCTTGAGCTGATCAGGATCAAACTCCTGGCTGTGGGCAGAGCTTGCCTGCAATACTGCATTCTACTCACTGAACCACCAGAAGTCCTAGTTCATTGGGGCACATGTTTCTTTCCCCAGAAATTAAAAATTACTTATACCACATTTGAATCTCTGCCCTAGGCACCTCAACTCTGAACACTACCATATTTTTCCATCTATAAGACACCCCCATGTATAGGACACCCCCATGTTTCATGTACAGTAAGTAAGCAGACTACAAGCTATCACTGTGCAGAAGCCATCTTATTAGAGAGTGAGTAATGCAAGAACAGAAAATGCATCACAGGAGCAATAGAGATGAAACCTAGAGTGGCAGTGTGATATAGGAAACAACTACAATAGAAAGGAATGATAGAGCTGCAATGGTAGAGGCTCATCTGGCAGACCTGGAGGAAGGGGATGGGCCATGCCTTCTCCCAGGAGTGAAATCCAGCAGGTTCTGACAGGTTCTGGAGAATGGGTAGTGGAAATTTTGAGCAGTTCAGAGAACCAGTAGCAGAAATTTTGAGTAATTCGGGGAACCAGAAAATACCACCTCTGGCTGGCCCCAGAGTGGGTGGGAATGGAGATTTTGCGATATCCTTTCCCTGGAGTGGGGTGGGAATGGAGATTTTGCAGTATCCTTCCCCTGCCACGCCCACCAAGCCATGCCCACAGAACCGGTAGTAAAAAAAATTGGATTTCACCACTGCCTTCTCCTCTCGGCCTCCTGTGTATAAGACGTCTCTCCATTTTCAAGTAAATATTTTAAAGAAAAAGTAGCATTTTATACATGGAAAAATATGGTACTTTCCAAATGTTGGATTGCGCAAATTCCAGTTCCAGGAAATTGTAGTTAGAAAGTGAAGATTAATGTGCCCCACAGAGGAGTTGATGCAAATAATTTGAAGGCAGTGGACATTCTCTTCCTTTTGAGCATAAGGTCCTCAAGTTCCTACATCACTTCTCTGCTGAGCCTTCCTTTAGCCTGAGGCATGGAAAAATATGTCAAGGTATTTAAAACACTTTACCTGTTCATGCTATCCTTAATATACCCAGTTTTGTCATCCTGGTCTCTGACAAATACCACAATCTTTGTGTTCTGGTAGTTAATTTGCAGGTGATTGTCAGCACAGAAATAAGCAAAGAGACCCCAGTGCTCTCCTAAAACCCATTTGAGATTAAGATATAGTCACTCCATCATTATCATTTAACATTTAACATTTTCTAGTATGATTTGATTGCTTACTGTACCGTATGACTGTCACTGGGTGTTGTGCCTTGTGATTCTTGACGAGTGTATCTTGTCTTTTTATGTACACAGGGTGTCGATAAATCCTTGAGTATCTGTACCCATGGCCCCCTCTGCAATCTCTTCTTTCTCCTCCATTTTCACTGAATCTTCACACCACCCGAGGTTTAAGTAGATGCTGGGGCTCAGCACCCCTGATGGCCTCCTTTCGGGGTGCCGTTATGCTTTAAGGGAGATTCGGGTTAATGTCAGCATTCCAGAAAACCCCCAACTCCAAGTAAAAACTCTGAAGCAAGCATTTTTCAAAGTTCTATTTACTAGAATAGGTAAACTGGCACATCTGGGATGGAATCTGAGAGGTCCGGGTTTTCCCTCAGTAAATCAAAACCCCCAAAACCATCCCCTCACTCCTCAGTAGATCACATGCCCCAATCACCATCCGTCCCATCTCGAGACAGCACTCTGACCACTCCTTCTCTAGATGCAGGATCAGCCTGACCTTGACCGACAGGAAGAATACTGTTATGTCTACAGACAACCCCTCTACTAAATCCCCCCCTCCTACTTTCCCACACATGAGAAGGTGGCAGCATAGAAGCTTTCAGCCTAATATGGCTTCCAAAGCTGACACTTGGCCAATAAAGAATTCTATTCTAAAATGGAATCAGCTTATAAGCGAGTTTAGAGAGATGGAGAGCTGGATGATGTATTTGCTTGAGCAGGGACTACTTAACAGAAAATTGAATAGCAGTGACCAATGTGCATCCCTAGTTACTGATATTATGTACTGTATAAGATCAGAGTTTGAATATTGTCCCTGTCACATCTTACACGCTTGGGAGAGAGAAAACAATATAGGTATCTGAAATTATGATTTTAGAATAATTTGTAATTTAAATAAGAATGTTTCAAACAATATCTGGATATATTCACAGGGCCTGGGGAGCATGTTGTATTCCCTGCTGATGGAATGCAGTGAGCCACCGGAGGAAGTGTTTTGTCTTAGTTTCAGTCACCTTACGCACGGGAGCATTCACACTCAGAGAAGGAACCAGGCTAATAGGCAAACACAATGAGTTCACCAGGGATTTGCCTGGTGAAGTTCAAGCCCCCAGTGAATCGACTGAAGCAATTCCAACGTATCACATCTCAACAAATTAGCAGCATAAAGGCAAAAGACAAATGGGAAGCGGAATACAATAACACTGGGAGGCCATTATAATTGCACCGACCAAGAATAAATGACGACGGTATGGGCATATGTGTACATGCTCCATTATGTCTGCGCATGTGAGAGACAAAATGACAAGCCAAGTAAAGAAGCAATTTTAAGGGAAAAAAAAAAACATGATTGATTAGAACTTTATCTGAAAGAAAAATCCAAGAATGCATTTGGCTTTATTGCCTCTTACTATTGCTAACAACCTGCTGTTAAAAGTTTCTTCAGTTTAAAAGGACTGTGAATATTAATACTGGAATTGTTGCCAGGGTTCAACAGGTCCACCACATCGTGTTCAACACACCCTTCTGTAATGATGCTACCATACTTGCATACATCTGTCATCTCATTTTTATATATTATGTCTGATATGGGCTTCATTTATTCAAAAGGATCCTTTCATGGCATAGGGATTGTAGGAGCAATACAGATAGTCCTCAATTTAGGACAACAGTTGAGCCCAAAATTTATGTTGTGAAGGGAGAAATTTTTTAAGCGAGTCTTGACACATTTTACGACTTTTTCTTGCCACATTTGTTAACTGAATCACTGCAGTTGTTAAATTAGTAACTGTTCTGATCTAGGCTTCCCCAGCAGCACTAAGCTGAGTCCTCGTCCCAATAAACTCCTTTTATTTAATTTACAGTGAATTCCTCTCCAGCAAAGTCTTTCTTCTCCCACAGTCTTTCAAGATAGTTCACAATTACCGACCTTTATCAGGCTTGGAGAGTGGCCAGGCCGATATCGTTCAGACGCCACAATACTTGGCAAGAATGCAAGAATGAACTAATTGTCTCCTGCAAACACCCCTCCCCTTTCACTCCTCCTTTATTCCCTATGGAAGGGGCCCTTCATTGTCCACCTGTGGCCTTACTCCCAAGTCGACCCTTGTTCCTTATCTGCTCCCTTCATCTGGCAACTCTGCACATGCGCACACTGGGAACAGGCTCCAGCTGTTCGTCTGCCTCACTGATGTCTGCTTCCGAAGGCAGCTGATGCCTGTCATACAGCCCTGGTCCCATCTCTGCCTCCAATGCAGAGCACTCATCAGAACCTTCCTGTTGTGACCCAGGCCCAAGTAGTTAGTATTAAATGCAAATAGTTCAAAAACAAACAGACTTTATTAGAATAGCTGAGAATTAACTCATTCTCAGCGTAGTCCAAACTAAATTAAAGCAAATTCTTCAAAACACCATTCCTTAGTTTATCACCGACCTTGGGATAATTAGGCAAACTGCCAAAGGCTTTTCTTGGCAAAAGTTCAGAAGCAGAAGATGCCAACAAGAAATGAATACAGTGAAACAAGAAGCAAATCTCTCAACGGTTGTTTTCCGGCAAAGGTCCAGCCGGGTCCAGCCTAATGCTAACTATGACCTATAGCCAGGATGGCGAACCTATGGCACATGTGCCAGAGGTGGCACGCAGTGCCCTCTCTGATGACACATGAGCTGTCGCCCCAGTTCAGCTCCACTGTGCATGTGTGCGCATCTCCCGCCGGCCAGCTGGTCTTCGGGTCTCTGCTACACATGCGTGAGGGCAGGGCACAGGGAGCGCTCGCACTCGTGGGGGGTGGGGGAGTGCAGGGGGCCATGCATGGGGTGGGGCACATGTGTGGAGTGGGGCGCATGTGCAGGGGCTGTTCATGCATTGCATTTGGGGGGCTTGGGCACGCGCACTTTGGGCACTCAGTCTGGAAAAGTTTAGCCATTACTGACCTATAGTCCCAGGAGTCAAGCAAACTTGTAAAGACTGGTGACCCCATCTTCAGAAGCAAAAATTTGTGAGTGTAAAGCAAATTTGTGGGACCTGGCCTAATGTTAGCTATTTTCAGGAGTGAAAGATACTTATTAGAATTATGACTTACAGCTCCCTATTCCCAGAAGTGTAAAAAATGTTTCACACTATATTCAGACTTCCTATTTGAAGTTTCACAGATCTGGTTTGATAAGCTGCCATGAAGATTTTGCTAGTAAAAGTAGCTTTGGAAAGCTGCACAGTCTTAGCTTTAGCATCTCCAAGTTAGGCTACCCCCATTAAAATTTTTGTTCTGCAAAGGTTCCATCTATTCCCTCTAATAAGTATGATAGGCTGGCACAGAAATGGATGCACATGAGAGATAAGATTCTATCTTTTCTTAAAGTCCTAGCTTGACACTTTCCTAGCCAAGTTTTCAGGCAACAGTGACCCCCAACCCCTCCAAGCCATTTTTACAGGCCATTTGCTTAAATAAAAGGAAATGGTAACCTTTCCCCAAAGCTCCATCTTGATGCTTTTCCAGTTGGTCATTTCCATAAGGAGTTATAGTACAGAGAATTTAACCATTTTCTCCCAAAACACTTGTTTGCTTCAATCATTCTTGAATTGATTTGAATGAAGATTTCAGGCTCCCGTGTTTGGATCTGAGAATACAAATTGAGATCCGATAGCAAAATTATTTGATCTGAACTGCTCTGGTGTTGCTGACTCTGATCACTGAGATTTGGTGTGGGAAAAGAGGGTTGGCACTGCTTCTTGGAAAGCTTGGCCTGTCATGGGAAGGATCATCAGTGGCTGGAACCAGTTGTTTCAGAATTGTGGTTTGTTGGCAGTATTCTATGTTAATTAGCAGAGGCAGGTGGCACAGAGAGATACAATACCAGGAAGACTGGCAGGCTAGAGAGAAAGAGGCTGGCAATAATAACTAGAACTCATAGCACCGTTTCTTCTATTCTTAAAGGCAGTAGCAGTAATACCAGCACCTATCAAGGCCAGTTTGATACCTTTACTTGTATTGTTGAGAAATTTAAAACTGCTCCAATCATGAAGAGTTTAAAATAAACGTTTGATCCCAAGAGTTGGTCCTGGATTGGAACATCCTTGATCCCATATTTAGGATGGTGAGAACTGATTCAATCTCCTTTTTCAAAACAAGTCCCTGGATAGAGTTGCAATTGTGCTCCATCAGATCAAAGCATCCCTTTGAAACTTTGAATAGCTCTCATCTGTAAGTTGTGTGTGTGTGTGTGTGTGTGTGTAATAAATAAATAGAAAATGCAATTCCATGTTTTGCTTTCTGCTCTGTATTACTGACATAACCTAAAATTAGAAGCAGGGGTGGGATTCTACTGGTTCGGACCGGTTTGGGCGAGCCGGTAGCTCCGATGATCAGCTGGGAGCGAACCTGCCTCAATGATTAGATGGGCCCACCCGCCTGCCTGCGCTTTTTCCCACTTTTATCTTCTCAGCTGATTCACGCGGCAGAGCAGATTGCTGCGCCTCAGCTGTGTTTCTCCCCTGAACAAACTTGGAAGTGAAGATTTCTTCAAACTGGGCATATGTGCGATCACCGAACCGGTTGTTAAAATGGGAGGATCCCACCACTGATTAAAAATAGTTCCTATGTAAAACAACAACTTAAAGGGGAGTTGGAAGGATGTGGGGTTTTCTGCTGCTGAGATTTTGCTAAGCAGAAATATTGTTAATATAAAATGTCGAGGTTAAACGTCTTTCTTTTAACAGTATCCATCAGGATATTGTTGTAGATCCATTTACCTACAGTTAAGCATGTTTCATCATACTGTACTGTATATAAATATATCATGTCTCTGGTAAGATGTAAAGGCATTTTGTGGAAACAATCAATTTCAACAATAACAGTAGTACAACCTATTTGGGGGTTGGTTTTTTTGGGGGGGTGGGAAAGCAGCTGTCAGGGGAAATAAAAATCAATTCAACCCTAAGTTAGAACAAGTCACAAATAAGCAAGCTCTGTTATGACACAGCAATGCCCACCAGTGCTTCAGGGTTGGAAATAACATTGGTAACCACTTAAGTATTCTGGTATTGATTGCAAATATATTTCACCCAAATTTTCAAATATGGATGCTGAAGCAGGGGTGAAATCCAGCAGGTTCAGGAGAACCGGTAGCAGAAATTTTGAGTAGTTTGGAGAACCAGCAAATACCACCTCTGGCTGGCCCCAGAGTGGGGTGAGAATGGAGATTTTGCAATATCCTTCCCCTAGGA